TACATATTGTGTTATAAATATGCATAGCAACCGTCCTCTACTGGTTGAAACCCGGCTATTGCAATTAAATGTCACTATTGGCTGATCTGGAAGCAGGTGTAGGATCTAAAGGCAGGGCATTATTATTTTGGTATCTGTAAACCATGATGTAAGACACTCACCAGGCCGTACACCTCAATATCAATTTCAAAGTTGCTGGAGACATCAGATCTGAAAGTGGAGAAGGGTGTATATTAACACAATATTCAACAGTCATCAGCAACAAAAAAACAAAAAAGGTAAAACAACAATGTCTGAGTATAATAATCAGTCATTATCAAATACCATGATGTGTATTCTTTCCTATGAGCAGGTGTAGGAGTGTGTAACTTACATGGTGAACTTGGTAGGGAAGGCGAGGGTGTCCCCACTGAGGCCGCGGTGTGTGCCGGCTAACGGTGTGGCCACGGTGTTCTCTGCTCCGGCACGAATCATGATGAAGAAAGAATGTTTGGTGGACTCTAAAATACCAAAAAGATAGAATGATACTGATAACTATCAGTACAATACATTCTCAAATAGTGACAACTGATGTCTGGAGAAGAAGTTGAACAGTGGGGTGTTACTTTAAATTCCCAAACTGTGTTTTAATGTGTTTTGTGTCTACCTGGCTTGTTGGCAGTGGAGCAAGCAAAGTCTGCCTTGAGAGGCAGGCGTAACTCCTGCAGGGTGATGGAGCCCTTGGATGCAGACATGCTAGAAGGCTCTGGGGCTGCGGGGGCCTTTTTCTGGCCTGTTGGGTCCCCTTTGAGACGGTCCAGCTCTGCCTTCAATGCTTCCCTCCTCTCCGCTTAGAATATCAAAAGAAAAGAGAGTCAAGCTTTGATTCCAACACTGGTAGTCGTCAAATCCTACATACAGGGGTTATTATATGGGTTATATTAAAGCTGCTCTATTCTTAATAATAATCATCATCCAATAGGTAGATTCTGACATTTAAGAAAAGATAATAAAAGGCATTCACAAGGACAGCTACAGTTTCTACAAATAAAGCTAAATAACTTCTAAAACCATTAGCAAGTGTGCCTAGCCAGAGCAGAGTAGTGTGGATGAACTCACTGGCCACCAGCAGCAGCCTCTGTGCCTCAGCCTCCACCTGGGATCCTTTGCCGTGCTCTTCGTCTGTGCAGCAGTTGAGTGCCTGGCTGGCCTGATGAATAACAGTCTGCTGCAGGTTCATCTCATTGGTCAGAATCTACAGAAGCATACAGCAGTGATATTAAAGCTTCTGTGTACGTTTTACACTCATACTGTAATCCAAGTTAAAAATAGTGATTCCAAACCTTCATCTTCTGTTTGATGCTGAAGAGACTGGATCCTCTGGGTTCCTCCGCTCTTTGAGAAACGTCCTCATTTCTCACAATCACCTGTTTAACGTTGGGTCTCTCAGTCTCCTTCACCCTGGTGGACCTATACGCATCAATGCTACACACAGAACCGATATACAGAAAGGATACATGTAAGATACACATTTTCTGCAACAGCAAGGACAGCAAGCTTAAACCTCTTTAACTCTGCTGGAATGCCTATGTCCTCGGCTGACATTACAGTTTTTCAGAAGCTGGAGCTTCATCATCATGCTAACTTGTCAGGAAGATGCTACACAACTCTCCAAAGTTGGACAAAATCTGAGTGAGGGAAAAACTGGCATGGCCATTTTCAAAGTGGTCTCTTGACCTCTGACCTCAAGATACATGGAAATGGGTGCGAACAAGTGTCCACTTTACAGACACGCCCACTTTATGCTAATCCCATGCAGTTTTGTGAAAAAACCTATACAGTATAAATGTGTTTGCCTGGTGTATTTGAATATTTCTGCATACTGGGGTCCATGAACAGTGCTGGAATTGCATGATTTGGAATGAGTAGAAAACAGATTTGTGGATTCAATGACTCCAATTGTATTCATGTGTGACAATGTTCGTTCCCATAGTAGCGAGACCATTTTTAAACTTGACCACACTGTATAAAATGACCCATTGAACCAAATCTGTGTAACAAATGGTATCCACCCTAAAAACTGCTGCAACGTCTGAGACATAATTGGTAAGTGCTCCACTTACCTATATGGCAACTTGTGGTCCTCGTCTGAGGCCTCAACACTGTCTGAGGAGGCAGTCCGAATCATGTTAGTTCTCTGGAACTTGCTAGGTCTGGAAACACTGTCTGGAGTGTTGCTCTTTACGATGAATGAGCTGGCTGGGGTTGATGTCTGCACAAAGACGTGAGGAAAATGTTTGTGTTGAACATGTTTGCCTCACTCAGAAAGGTCTGACAGCAGCTACGTGCTTTAGAGACTTCACCTACCATCATTCTCCTCTCTGGACTCTTCACCACAGCAGCCACGGTCTCTGCTAGCGGAGTAAGGAGGGACATGGAGGAGATATTCAAAGCATCTTCCTCTTCCTCATCATCATCACTCTGCTCCAGGACTCCATCAAACAGCTCATTGATGACTGCAGAGTTGATAGACTGGTCCACATTCATCTCTATCTCCTTTACCACCTCCTCATCTTCTGGGGTTTCTTTAGTCGTGTTCTCCATGGTGCGGGCGACCACCGTCAGAGGACTGGATGCTGAGACTGGAGGCGAGACCACCAACCCATGACCTGTTAATTAACATCATGTGTTAGAAAATACACTTCCCCATGATGTCCAGATCCGATCAGTATCAGGGTCTACTGGGGGACTTTTGTTTATGGAGTCTGGTGGCAAGTGATAGCAATATAATAATATCATGAATACCTGGAGGAGGGCACTTTGTGGGTGTGCATGTACTTTCAGTGGACGGTGCTGTGGGTTCGTCCTGTGGCTCACATGGGGCAACATCAACCTCCACAGGCTTGTAAAGCTGTTCCTAAAAGAACACATTATTTTTTATTAGAATCTCACACATGCTATGAAAACATGACTACCTTGTAAGATGTAAAATCTTTGTCATTTGTGTGTCAGATGCTTTTGAGCCAACCTTGATGTCCGTGCTTTTATTGGTTTCTGCTGCTTCATCTTTGTTTTTCCACATATTGTTCCCCTTCTGAAAGCGATTGCGAATCTGAGCCAGCTCAGACTCTCGCTCCTGAAATGAGGGGAATTTAAAAAAATATTTTTTTTTAAAATCATTTTGCTATTGTGATTAATGAATATGGGATACTCTATAGTATCTCTAACATTAACCTACCAGCTTCTGTCTTTGGGTGAGATCAGCAGTGGTCGTGTTTGCAGTCTGGGCAGCTCTGAACCTCTCCTGTACCAGTCTGCTGTTTGGTGTTACTGATGATGGAGTTACAGTGGGTGTTTTGGCTTGGGGAGTGCCCCCTGCTGGGGAGCTGTGGTTGGTACGCTCTTGGCACCTCTCTCCAAAGCGCTCCAGGAAAGATTTTACACCTATGTGAGAATATACCCATTAACCACAACATCAAACACTAAACAAATCTAGCGACAATGTTACTGGTTTGTGCATGTAATTTGAAATACAACGTTGGTTAAGAATATGATCAATTAAAAGAAAAAA